CCGTGCGCATCCGCTCGTTTAGATCGAAGGGGATGTCGATCGGGTCCCACAGGTGGGGATATTAATTTCGTGACGTGACTTATGTATGCGACCCAAAACGTTTCCTCGTAACCACGTAAAATTATAGAAATAAAAATCTCTCTCTCTCTCTCTCTCTCTCCAAAGTATTCCAAAATTAAAATTACTTCCAACTTCCAATCGATTCGCTCCGTTTCCTAATTTCTCGATTAACAGCAATCCTTTTTTACGGATTAAAAACAAAAAATCCACAACGTGTCCTCCGAAATGGAGGAAGAAACCTTGAAGCGTAACAGGATTCCTGGAAGGAAACCTTTGGTGGACGATTGAAATCAGGTGGCGTCCTTTCTTGGTTACGTTCTCGCCATGGCAACTGTTCGAAACAACGAAAGGCGCGTACGTAAGAGATGACGGCGAGCTCGCGTGCAACGTGTTGTCACGGCAATCGGCCCGTGTCTGCACGCGTGCATGCGTTGGCACGCGCTCGGCCTGCAGGTGCCTCCTAGCTGCATCGTTGCACCGCAACCCACTACCCGCACGATTTCTAAGATAACGGGCGGGCGACTCTCGTAATTATCCTGCCCTAAGCAGATATCCATTTTTATGCCCATGTATACGAGCGGGGATCACGCCCACAGGCTTTTCGGTTATTTTTAACCCAGCCTCGCCCGAACGTGTTATAAATCATCTCCGTGTTCCGCTCTTTCGGCCGGATCTAACGCGTTACCGGCAACTTGTTATTTACACGGGATGGCAATGGCGATGATCCTTTTACTCGGTTTTATCCGAGGCGGGAGATTGCGGATCGAGAGAGCGCTCGATTGACAAGCGGTTACGATTGGAAATTCGTGTAACTGGCGTGCAATATCGACGTATAAATTTTCTTTGTTTTTTGAAACGTCTTTCACAATTCTAAATACGTAGTTGGTCGGTCTTAAAAGTTGATCAGCCGTGATAGAGAAATTCGATGTTGATCGGGTATTACGTATATCGATAAAAGAACGTATATTTTAATTTTTGATCGTACGATTGGAATCAATTACAGTTTATTTCAAGACGATTAGCAAGAGAAGCGAGCTTGGTCAGAATGATAATTTTATCGATGACTCGAAGTCGACACGACACGACACGAAGGCAATTTTCTTCGTCATCGACCTAGTTGAACGACTGAGCACAGTCATCTAAAGGCGTTGGCATTGATCGTGCAATTACCCGGCGCGACTCGATGCGTTACCATTAATGCGTCAATTGTCAAAGGTAACGAATGTTTCTTGATCGAAAACGCGGATACAAAGGTGGTCGCGTGGCTGACACGCGCCTCCCAATGACAATTTCCGCCCCTCGTACCGGAAGTCAACACCTATCCGTAGTGGAACGAGCAACTGCAGCTTGCATTCTAGATGCACCCGCCTTTATACGTACGTTAAGTGCGAGGCAAATATCGACTTTTGTGCCAACTATCGTCATTTATATGCGCATACATTGCTTTCTGCGACTGTTACCAACCTATATAATCTTTTAACCACGTTTTCTTTATCATTTTAGGTTGTTCGCAAATGGACGTCGAAACAAAAGATGCACTGACCGATTCTGAAAATGTCTTCCCACTGTTCGGTGATAATTCGTAGAAATAAATTAATTAAAAAAATACTCACTTCTTTTTTTTTTTTTGTTAAATAAACTTCTTCTCTTCGGAGAAGAAAATTTGATTAAAAATTCGATAATTATAATTTATCGGTAAATATCATAATACGAATTGTATCGTTCAATTTCCATTCTTCTATGCAAGTACAACTCTATAATCTCTCTAACTTCTTCGACCAGCTTCTTCCTACGCTTCACCTTAAAGACCCCGAGAATCGCACCATTTCGGTAAATCGTATTTCACGCCGAGATTTACAGCGTCGTCCGAGATATCCATCTGCGAATAGGCATCTCTCTTCCTTTTGACGCGATAATAGTAACAATCGTTCATCGTATATATCTATCGCTCGCTCGCTCGCGGATCCATTAAGATCAAGATAGAGTTTATTACGTATTTCAATATAGGCAGCTAGGTGGACGTAAAAGTTAACTCGTTGGATGATATAGCGCGGCGTCGATGCTCCGTCGATGCGGGAGCAGTGCCATAATGATCGCCGTTTTATCGTCGAGACCACCGCTCGGTTGCCCTTTCCCGTCTAAACGAGAAATTAACGAGAAATCGGACACTTCTCGGCGTTAACTATCCCACGTAATATGCTATGCAATTTACGAGATCGTCCAACAACTATTTCATACAATGGAACGGATAATGGACCAATCTTCTCAAAACCGTCATATCCATTATTATTACTCGATCTCCATTTAACGGCTCCTCTAATCGTAGAAAAAAAAAAAAAAAAAGAAAACATCAAACATTTTACATACCACCGTTATTTCGTTTCTCGTTTGTTTTCATTCCACAATTTCCCAATATACACAGATATCGCCGTGCAGTTACATTTTGCACGAAAGCGATCGTATCCATTTATATAAAAAAGAAAAGAAAAAAAAAGAAGTACGACGCGCGAAAGCGTAAAAATACGAAGGAAACGGCAACGAAGGAGATCATAAAGATCGTGGCCAATTATTTAAAAAGCCACGAGATAACTCAGCAAAGATGTTGCGGGCTAAAAATGCAGCGGAAACCCCCGCGGCAATCCGATACAATATGGCCCCTCTCGCGGCGTCCCGGACGTATTTACGACGAAAGATTCGTCCTCGATCAGCGCGGCGCGGTAAAACGCTTGCAACCGGTAAAAGGCACGTACCCCGGCGTGGTAGCATTACGAGAAAAGGTTCGATGACCTACGACGACGACGACGACGACGACGCAGCCACCCCGCGCTCGTACGTTTCAAGGACAAAAGTCGACCTCCTTCGGGGCCTTTTCCTGGTTCCCCTTTACCTGCTGCTCCCATCCCTCCCGCGCCTCCGCCTTAATTTAAAGCCACTCGAAATGCCGCGATCCGGCCACGGATACCATGCGCGGATGACCTTCTTCTTTTCTTTCACAGGAAAGCGGGGACCGGCCACCACCAACCTCGCACGCTTTTTCCTTCTCCTTCCCTCCCGCCTTTCAGCCCTCCACCCCCCTCCGCCCGGGGATCGTTGCCCACCTTGAAAAAGTGCCTGACGCGAGGCTGTATATCGCGGCTGGCTAATCTAAAAATACTAAAGTCGACCTTTCCCGCGGCAAGAGCGATGGCCCCGGACCACTGCTAAATCAACGGCGAGATTGAGATGCAAATGCAGCCTTTCCTCTCTTTCTTCTTTCGCGGCTATCCTTTCTTCGACCACCGGCTTTCTTCGGTCGCCGAGGAAACGAAGGGACAAAGTTTTTTTTACCAGGGAAACGGAGAGAGAGGTTGCCAAAAGATTAAAGTCAAAAAATTGGGGGAGAAATATGCGATCGCGCCAATTAACGATTGCGATATCTCCATCGAGAGCCGCGCGCGTAGAACGCGAAATTCAACGCCGATAATTCAAACGTATCGCGCCCTCTCCCTTCTCTCATCCCCCTCTCTTTCTTCCCTCCCCTAGTACTCGAGCTTGAAATAACTTTATTGAATTTCGCGTGGTTCGCCGATTCTTGCAATAATTCATGCGCGACGAAGAGTCGCGAGCGCGCGCCAGCTCGGACCCGTATCGCGGGACACGATCTGGCTTGGGTGAGCCACGACGAAGCGTGCCGCAGCGTGGTGCTTGCTTACACACTGCCGTGCGCGCCTACTTCCACTCTCTCTCTCTC